AAAAAAAAAACGCGCCCATATATAATATCGGAAGTCACGCGGCGGGGGTAGAAAAGTCACCTTAATTAATTTTAACGATTTTACTGGGAGCATATTTTTCTCTCTCTCCTTTTTTTTTTGCTGCTGCGATTCCTAGACGTCAGCGGAAAATTAATATACATCGGGTCCGGTGGAGCGATGCAGCAGTAGTCCTGAAATTTAATCTAAAAATTTCAGCAATTGCATCTCATCAAGTGTAAACAGGGATAGCGAAAACCTCCCCGATACGAGATCCGCTAAATGAACTGAACGAAACGGAAAAATAGGAATAGGCAAAAAAGGGATCGACCAGTCATCGTTTTTCAATTATCGGGAGCTGCCAAAAAATTCTACCCCAAACCACATCAAAACCTACACCCGTCAAGAGTAAAAAAAAAGTAGGAAATTTAATTTATGGCGCTGCAATTATTAATTTTTACCCTTTCCGCTGAAACGTATACACTTTTTTTATTCCGTGTTTTTGCAATTACGTCGTTTTTTGGGGGATGACCGATACGGAAAGGGTCGATGTGACGGAGGATGTGTGCTGAACTTGGCCCAGTGTGTGTACATATATTATCGCACACTAATTGACTGAAATGTCCATTAGGGTATTAACATGATACTTTACTAATTGAAAGCAGGATTCATCTGGTCCTTTGCTACTACAATCGATCAAAGCATATTTCATACCATCATTCCTCAAGCGCATTTCAACCTCATGCACGTCCTATAGTTTCTAAGAAAATATTTAATTTACATCAAATTGAATCCTTATAAATAAATCCAATGTCACTATTATTCCTCTATTTTTTATAATTTACCAAAATTTTCTACTGATTTAATAAAGTTAAAAATATTTAATTTAAAACAAAAAGTAATTTATAATTAAAATAAAAACAGTAGATACAAACAAATTGTATCCTTGAATGTTGTTAGAAAAAGTAACTAAGTTCCAACCTAAAGTATACAATATACGCTATATTTAGGTAATCAATAAGCTTTATTATATATTCATTCAAATAATTTCGATGTAGTAATGAGAAATTAGTTTTCAAGAACTCAAAAAAAAAGCAGCATTAACACTTACAAGAAGTAACAACTCCGAATGATTATGAATGATTTAACAATCTATATGGCTATTATTAATGGAAAACCAACTGAAACTTTGAATTTCAATTTTTAAACCAAAAACGAACGTACATTTGCGATGAATTTATAAAATGTCTAATGTGACAGCAGAATAATAGATCGACCTCTAATTTAATCTATTAATAATATCCACTAATGCGGTTCATAGATTTCAAAATATTCATTAATGTTATATAATAATAGCGGATGTAGGAAGATAATCCTCACTGATATTGATCGTGTCAGAAGTAATTTTCGGCTACTGCAAATCACGCGTCTACACTAATTACTTTGCTTAATGGATTTTTTTTTATTGGTATCCAATTAATTCGATAATGAGGTGCGCTTTTTTTTTCATTTCGGGACAGTAACTTTCAGCCTACGCGGAAGTTTCGCTCGTTTCATTCCGGGGGGAGGGTTGCTTACTCATTTTTTCTTCCAACCCCCCGCATTGTCGTCGTAGATTCAGGGTCCCCCTCGTTGTCTTGCTCAGAAAGGACTTCTAAATAATTAAACTCCGGTTTGTAGCGGGGGATGTCGCTGCAAAACACCCCCGACCGTGTCCTCAATCCCACTCATCAAGGAAGACACGAATCCTTGATTCCGCTAATCAAATGTAACTCCTGTCATTTTGACATCATCCAATTTCCCGATGGTTATCCTTCCGCTTAAATACATATTTAATTGCGCTGTTGGGTCTGTCACAAATCGTTGTGGAGATTGACGTTAATTAAGTTTACAGAGAAAGATGTTTGAAAAATAATTGTAATCAGTTTTGCTTTATACGTTTTGTTGGTTGAAGATGTAAGTGTAACAAGTGATAGCGTCATGTTTATCAAGTAAATTAATGTAAACTAAAGTTTATCAAGTTGTAATTAGATTGTTTCAAATTTCTTGGCTCTATTTACTTGAGACGATTGATGCTTAGTTCACAAAAAAAAAATGTTACAGACTGTTGAAACTCGATAACATAGGAAACCTACAATCATCAATTTTGAATTAGGATTTCGGTTGTTAAGTTCATGAAGAAACAATGTCTTAGTAAAAGTTCAACATCCACAAATATTAAAGAAATTGCGACGTAAGGCACGTAACAGGAAATATTAATCAAAGCCGAACGGTTTTCACAACGCATCCAATACAAGGACCTATTATTTTTGGTACGTTCATCGCCTCTGCTCTCATCCACGGGCGTAAGCATTCCGCGAAGATTAAAACCGCCGCTTCCTCTCCACCAGATTATAATTGAAATATTTATGCGGGTTCCAGGCATTTAATTTCCTGCTACCTCAGGAATGCAAAGAACAGAGAGAAAAAAAAAATAAGAAAACAAAAGAACCCAGGCGAGATGCGATTGTTTACGAGCACAGGTGATTCAAAAGATGATGTCCTCGCCGTTTTTGCTACGTCTACCCCCCTTACATCTTGAGCAGCGAATGAGTGAGGAGAAGGGGGAAAGAGTAATTATGCTCAGGGTATTAGTTCCTTACTTGACTGATGGGGTTGTTCCAAGCTTTAATAAAGCCCGGCAATAAACCTGGCCATCTCCTTTAGGAAAAAAAATATATTATATATTATGTAACTTGGCGTTATTTTTTTGCTCTTCGTCTTTTGTTTTCGTTTTTTTTTGCATCCCCTTCGCGTCATTCTTCTTCGCCGGGCGGAGTAACAAATTTTTTTTTTTTTGCATCCTTTTTGGCGGCGTATCCGAAAAGAAGGGGTTGCCTTTTTTATTGCGAGCAATTCCTCGGAAATAATTTAGGAATGCGGCCCTTCAAAACTTTTTATCGTCGAGAACGGTGGTGGGAGGAAGGGTGGTAGGCGCGCACTTTTGTTGTACGTATTTCCGGGATCGACCTTTCGGCGGTGCGGGTTTATGAAATTTCTTCGGGGGTGAAAAGTGGGGTGGTTGTTGGTGGCGGCGGCATTCCGCTGCATTTTCATCAATCTCCTTCTTTTGCTCGCGCTCCATCATCCCTTATTTACGAGCGGGACGCAATCTTCGACTATCCGGAAAACCTATATTAAATTTCCTCTTCGAACTTGTTTAAATAATCATCCGGTTTTTGTTTCAGGTTTCCGCGTTTTCCGACCGATCCGGGCATGCTTTGAAATTTCTGCAATTGCTATTATTCTTTGGTGAGTTTTTTTTAGTTTACCACCCTCCTTGATTACTTACTACTCTTGGATATTAATATTTCAATGCGAGTGCGAGGAGTGTGTTTGATGCCAACACAAGGCCTTCTCTTCTTCTACTTCTACTACTACTACTTTTTATCTCCCTCATCCTAGGATGGATGGGACTCATTGTAATAATTCCGAGATACATACAAAACCCGGAAGCACCGGCGAATCCTAAACCGCTCCTCGTTTTATCCACCTCCTTCTTCTTCTTCGTGTTTTTCTTGTTGTTGTTGTTGTTGTATTTTTTTTGTGTCCTGTGCAAGGATTTTTTTATATGTTCTTACTGCGAGCGGATCTGGAGCACTCTTGTCAACTGAAAGCCTCCGTTGTTCTTCGAACAGCATCCCTTCTCTCTCTCACCATTTCCATTTATCCTCCAACTCTACATCTCTCTCTAGCTATGTGGGCTATTCGGAAAACCGCATGTTTTTAACAGGACGCTTTCCCTTTATGCTTGTCTACGCCAGATTCTCTCCCCATTGATTCATAATCGTGGAACTTATTTCCAACAACAAGCAACTTGTCGGATGCAGAATTCAATATGTGAACATTATACAAGCGATGCCTGTAGAAGTTATCATTCCTGCATCTACTCTCTCTCTTTCATACACACACACACAAACTATTTGCATGCATCCTACACATCTCTGTCTCAAAACGTGTGTGCAAATTACATGATGCTTTTATTATAAATACCCCGGAGACGCTTAAATGATTCCACGTAATACCTGCCCCCATCGGGCGAAACTTTGCCTATTACCTAACACTTTTGTTGCCCACCTAATGATCAAACTTAGTTTGTACATACACACACTACACTCTTCATTAATACCGCATTATGTAACGAACGTATTTCATTTCTCCGTTTTATTGCGCCAAAGAAGAAAAATGAACGAAATTTTACACGGAGAGTCTAAAAAAATATATATATATATGGAAAGAATGAAACGGAAAACGCGCCCGAAGTAAACAACCGCAATTGAACTTTATGACAAAGACTAATTACCGTCTGTTTTTATTCCATTAATTTAAAGCTTCTCCTCGGGCTTTATGCTCTGCTTCTCCCTGTGTGTATGTATATATATATATTATAGAAGCATTCTTTTTTGTTTCGTTTCATCCTCAACTTTATTCCGTTCCATTGCAATAATAATCAGGCGAGTATAAAACGATAATAGCAAGCTAATGTACTGTGCATCAGGATTTCTTACTTGGTTTCACATAAAACCAACCTCAATTTTCTTGCCTCCTCAATCCTCTGTCCCTATTTTTTATTCCCTTTTGCAGATATTTATAGCAGATATGTATTTATAAGCTTTTTCTCTCGAAATAACTTTAGATCGATAATTTTTATAAATAACATATTTCCATTTTATGCAACTTAGCATAACGCCAAATTTTGATGTAAACATATTTTCTAATATCTTATTGAAAATAAAGAGAGAAAAAAAAGAACGTAATAACAATAGTTTCTTTATTTTTTGTACGTGCAACTTTGGAATAGGGGATGAAACAGTGTTAGGGTATAAATAAAAATGTTGAGGATAATATGAACGCTGGAAATTGGCGATACCCGAAGGAGAGACCCCAAAGGATCGACGCAATCCCATATCCTCCACCTCCTTGCTCCTCGCCAAACCATTGCGCACGACACCTCCAATAATCCCACTTCTCACCTCCAATTCTCAACCCATAACGCATTCAGCAAACCGTTCCCATAAATTGCATCACTCATTGGCGCAAAAACACTTTATTGTCGGGCTTTATTTGTTATCGGCCATATAAATTATCCGCGTTTCGCAGCGGGCGCGAATTTATATTCAAAAATCATTTAAAACCTCACAGAAATGAACAGAAACGATACACACACGCATACACGACAACAACAAACAAACAAGCAAATAAAAAAAGAGTAAACAAATAAACAGCAACAGCAGTGGCAGCAATAGCAACAACAGCGCTGCAAAAATTAAATATCCCGCCAGATTTATGTCGCAGCTTAACGAGCAATTTGCTCGGAAGCGCATTTATTCTTTGTTTCCGTTCGCAAAAACCATTTTTTTTGTTTTGTTTTGGTCGGTAGTTACACAACCAAGTATTGTTTAAAGTAGTCGGGTTTTAGCTAGAAAAAAATGCGTTTTATATTGACGGTTGCGTCGCATCAATCACGTTAAAGTTTTTTTTCGGGGGTGTAAATATTTCATTCGGGGGTGGTCGGGTCCTTTTTTTTTCTCTCTTTCTTCTCGTGGTGGAAACGCCGATTGTTTAAAGTTTGTTTGGAAAGTGGATGGTGTAGAAGAGGGAAAAAATCTATTTGTACCAGACGCAATAAGTAACGTGTGTTTTTCTTCTGAACACATCCATTAGAAGCACCCCAATCATGCGAATATATTTGCAGGAATAATGGGGCTGCTAAAACCATTTTTTTCTTCTCTCCACCCTTCGCACCCAGACAAAACACTTTCTCCTCTCTTTATATATATATATATATGTATTTTTTGTTTGTTCGTTCCGATCCGTTCATCTTCATCTCTATGGATTTGCTATTTGCAAAGTGCGATCATCTGCAGAGTCCGGATCAATCCGAGGGTTAAATTATTTGCTAAACTATCGCCGCAACTGCAGGTTGTTAACTATGTTTACAAATCGGTGTTCCTCGGTGTAGCAAGTTACAAATGGCGAGAGGAACGTTATGTCGAGATTAAGCATGGTGTCGAGTGCCGGGGATCGTTTGATGTATTGAAGTCCTTTGAGCAAACAGCCTTTAATTACTGCCTACCACTCCGTTAATAAAACTTGTTGCTCTCGGACGTAGAAACAAAAGACTCTGCAATTCTTCAACTGCTCCATCTCTCCCTCGATTTAATTAATGGAGACAAGTTCATTATTTTCAAATTGCATTAGCCTCCTATCTCAAGATAAACCAGTCCAAAGTCCTTTAAACTATTTCAATGTATCATCGGTGTTAAAGAACATTTAATTTATTTCCATTTCCATCCACATTTTCCCTCATCCATCCTAATGAAAAGCAAATAACAATTATAAAACAAAGTACAATTTGGACCATTTAAAAGTTTAAATTTAACATTAGTCCTTTTCCAATTCATTGAAACATAATAGAAAATAAATAATGATTACATAACTACAATTAGTTAACAAGAAGTTAAAATTTGAACAATATGTGTATAAATATAATATAATGGTGCTTCCACACCATGCGTGACATGTGACGTAAATATATGTCAGGGGTGCCAACTACTATTAGTTATCATGTCAAATGTCAATTTTACGCTGTGTCATGTGTAAAGTGGGGTTAGTTTAAGTTTCAAAGTGATAATGCAGATCAGGAAAGTTATTGTTTGTATGGGTAAGCAATTGGTTTATAAAAATATCCGATTTTAAAATGGAATTCGCAGTGGAATTCCGTACATCAATTTGCGTTTTATTGTTAAACCCTGGGAAGATGTAGGGGCGGTCTGGTCCACGGCCCGATGAGCAAATCCACCCCCGCAGCGACAAACCGATTGTTGCAGAAGGGCGGCTTTGGTCCGGATTTTTTCCTCTCCCGGAAAACCGGGAAATGAAGGGGGAAGGTGTGGATTTATTAGCAGATGTCCTCCGATGATGCAACTTCCCCATTCTTCCTGGGCATCTGGGCCGAAACAAAACCGGGATTCACTCCTGCTGCAAGGATACGAGACGTCCTTTTTGTCCCTGCGCTGCGAGCTGCAGCTAACACGCAGAAAATGGGGAAACAAAACGCGGGGCATATAAATAGCCCCATTAGAAGAGAGAGAGAGAGCATACGTAACGTTCGCGAAATTAATTTTACGTACGCACGAGCGAAATAAAACAAAAAATAACACCCGAACAAAAAAAAAATAATAATAATAGAGGATCCAAACGGAGCGACGAAGGAATCGATTATGTAAAGTCCTCGAGGGTAGTAAGGACGATCGTCCAGGACACGTGTCTGGCCTAGCAAAATAGTGATGCTGGGTCCTGCTCATAACAGTAACCCATTGATTTGATCCTCGATATATTAAAACTATATACGCTTCTTTTTTTTTTTGTTCGAATCGGTTTTATTTTGTTTATGTAAATCCGTCCAATATCGCCGTCCTCCTATAAAGCGCATTTTTATGTTAAAATATTATATCATATTATTTTATTTCATTTATATTAGTTTTTTTTTTGTTCGTTTCGTTGCCGCTCCGCCTGCATTTCAATAAAAATAATATAAATGTTGAATGCTGTTAGCAATAAATACATCGAATGTTGGATACATGTACACCATACGCATGGGGGGATTAATTTTGGCCACTATTTTTCCAAATTCAATTGAATCGAAAAGCGCTTATTACAAATAAATAAATATATTCGAATCATTTGAACAAATAAAAAAATTAATTCATTTATAGGAA